GTTTTAGAATCCATGAAAAAACAAACTCCATGCATGAAACTTTCCACCACTTGTTCTCTCTCATTTCTCCATCAAATGACACAATCCAAGAACCAAACTTGACTAGAATTTTATGTAGAATCCAACCATGCCTTTGGATTTCGTTGAAACTAACTACATCATGCAAACCGAACCACACAACTCCATGGATCCAAACTTTCTTCAATTTTCGACCATCATAAAACTCAACAATCTTTGTATATAATTAATCCTCATGCTATGCTGATCACAACCAACCAAAATTCGTGCATTATCATCCATTAAATAGTGTGTTCTACCTCCATCAAGAATCAACCTCCATCAATGAAACCTCACTAATTGGTCTTAAACTCATCCAAATGAATCACCTAATGGTCTCTAATGGTTTCACAACAAGAACTAATCCTAGCCATGCCTAAAACAGAGTGTGGAAGTGGTTTTGCATACCTTGAACCTTGCAATGGTAGATGTTGAAAAGCTTCGAACCAGGCCTTGTGGATCTTCAAGAATGGTCTCTATGTGATGAATAGTACTTTACTTGCACAAGATTTGATGGAGATGGCTTGTATCTTCAGATTCAATCCCTTTTGCTCTCTTGCAACTTCACTTGAAAAGCTTCAATTCTTCAACAATGGAGGCTCCCTCTAGCATGAACATGTTCAGGGATGTTTGTAGTGATGATTTGTGGAAGAAAATGGAAGGGTAATGAAGAGAAAAATGGAGTTTGAATACAATTTGCAAAATGGAGAATTTTTGGTTCAAACTCTTTTCTCTACCACCATTAACATCAACAATCACCAACCTCTCACCAATGGAGATTGTAATCCATATATAGAGATGTTTAGAAAGATCTAGAACCATTTAGATCACTCTAGAAAGAACTTGAAGTTTCATGACTTGATATTTTGCATTTCACTTTCCACCACATGAGATATCATGACAAAATCCTTACAACTTGGATAATTCACTTGATTTTCTCCTTAAGTGGTATTTTGGACAAGATACAAAGCTTAAACACCTTGTTTATGAAGCTTTTCCTTGTTTTGGTTTGGTATGCCATTATGCAAGTAAGACTTTTACAAAGCAACCCCAAGATTTAAGCCTCAAATCAAAATTGTGGCTGAACCAATGTTCTTAAAATGTCCTTGGGAGTCAAAATGACCTATCATATGCCATGGTTTGGATTTGGAACTTGGATTTTAGGATTTTCCATTTCACTTGAATTAACTTATGTCTCATTTTTAGGCTATTTTTATCACTTTTTTTTATGAGCCTTTCCAACATCTCATGACCACCCTACTAGCCTTAAAACATCATTCTAAGCAACTTTAATGCTGAAGGTTTTTTCATTTGAAGCTTGGAAGTAGGAGATATGGCCATATGCTTGAAATGACCTATAACTGCCAAATGACCAAAATGCCCTTTGCTTGCCAAAGTCATAAGTAGAGTTCCACAAATCAGATGAAGGCATATCATACCTTTCTAGAAATCTAAGATCATGAGGAACAACTCTCATGTTGACCAGAAATCCATTTGAAAGCTCCTTGAGGGGTAAAAGTTGCTTGGAAGTTTAGTAATTTTCACAGACAAATTTCAGATGCCTCTGACGACCTGTAACTTGCAAGGACCATAACTTGAGTTCTGTAAATCTCCTTGATGTCTTCCACCACTCAAATTAAAGGTCTTGAGATCCTATACAAGTTTCATGTTGGCCAAGGATCCATTTGAAGCTTGCATTTTGGATTATCTTGCTTGGAAGTTTGACCTAAATCAGGGGATTTTACACAGAAACCCTAATTTAGAAACTCCTCTTCTTCTTGATTCCTCTTGATTTATCCTTGGCACAACACCACATCCATATCTACATGTCAAATGATGAACCCCACATTTTTCAAATAGACCTTGATGCCTTTCAATCAAGCATTTGACCTAGGGTTGACCCAGATGAAACCCTAGTTGACTGTCTTCAACTGCAGCTCTTGTAATCACATCAATGACTTGCCTCACTTTCAAAATGACCCTCTAGGTCTTCCATGATGTCTATATACCCTCCATGGCCTCAATTCATGACTCACAACTTCTTTGATGATCTTCAAATACCCTCAAGATAGGAGATAGATCCACTGTTTGGTCCACTAACTTCTCAGATTTCAATTTCTTTCTGATGACTTGGATGTACTTGAACTTGAATAATACCCTCTTGATATGCTCATAATAATTGCATTTGGTCCCTTATTGGATGACTTGCCCATGCTATGCTATGCAAATGATTAGACTATATACATGACTTTTTATGCAAATGACAATGCAATTGAAACATAAACCAAGTGAAGTAGGTTGAGCAAATTTTAGGGTGCAACACTTGTGGTAGAAGCCCTAAGTTGCTTATGGAAGATTACCTTATTTTGGAGATGTATTTGATCAAGCTGGTGGAGTTGTGTTCTCTGAAGATCTTCAGTTGGATTAATAGGCAGTAGTAAGTCCAGTTGTGGGCATATAAAGAACCATTGGATGTTGTGTTTGTGATATGTATCATCTGGTTTGTTTTTCCTTGGACTTGAAGATCTGTTATGGAACTTGTGATTCACATATTGACTAAGAAGTACTCTATCTTGTCATACGGGAGAATGATGAGGTAAAAGGACTGTCTTGGAGTATGATGTGAAGGTATTGTACAAGACTGGAGTGGAGCATTGGTTGATTGCATGAAAGTATGGATTATGATGTGTTATATGGAAGTGAATATTCACCTTAAACCAGAAGTGTTCTAACTTATCATATGGGAGAATGATGAGGAAATAATGTCTTGGATTATGGGGTGTCTATATTGTTCTCTGACCCGGGCCAAAAGTCTTGTGGAGAAGTGGTAACTCTAGTAAGAAGTGGAGCAGTTTGGTACCTTCTCACTATATGAGCATGAGGTTGGTCTTGAGATACTATGGTGATCTTGGAGCATCTTTTATAAAAGATAGGGGGAGAACTTCTGTTTGATGGGTGTACTATTTGCTTGTGGTTCAAGCAGTAAGTGAATGCGTTCAGCAGGTGTGTTGAACAAAGAGTGAGCTCTTGAAGACATGAAGATGAGTCTTATGTTTTCCATTCACGTTCTTCTGGAAAAAGAGAACTAGTTATCCTTGATATGGGGAGTTATACTTCTAGGATCTGTTGCTGCAATAGTACCGTTTCAAGATTGTTTGTGGTCTCAAGTAGTTTGTGATTGTATGCCTCTATGAGGATGGAATTTCAGACAAGATGTTGTAACGTTATGTTACTGCTCTAGCTCATGGTGAACCTGACAGTGTATTTTGTTTGGTTCTGTCATTGGGTATTAATGGATCAAATCAGATTTTTGGGCCTCTATCCAAGTGTTTTGTCTTGTATGGCTGGTGAAGATGAAGATCAAGACATCATTAGCTCTGATTTTGTGCATAAGGAAGGACTTTCACCCCTGTCATCTTGGAGATTTTCTATCCCTTCAAAGCTGAATCTGAGTAATCTTACAGATAGTTATGTCTATCCTGCAACTACTTCTACTATTTGGTCAGGTGTGGTTTGTGAAACAAAGGGTGCAGAGTTGCATGTGTTTCCTGTGTGTGAATATGAAGATGTTGAAGTGATTCTTCATGTGTTTGGGTTCTCTCTTTTAGGGGGAGTACTGATTATGCATGATAGGAGGAGCTACGTACCTGTCTGATATGTGGCTGCATTACTTGTGTTGACATTGTGCTGATATGGAGCTATGTACAAAGTTTATTGAATCTCAGGCAAGCTTGTGTTCTTTAACCACTGATGAGATTGTAATATCAGACAAGATGTCCTGACATTGTGTTGTCTGGTGTAATTTTTCTTGACAATGTGACTGTGGGTCTGGCTTTGTAAGACTATTGGGTTGAACTAGGTCTGTACTTACTTCTTATGAATGACCTAGGAAACAAAATTGGTTTGTGTTTGGGAGAATTTATTTTTGTGTCTCAAATTGGGGATTTAAAATCAATTGCTACTTGGCAAGTATTTAATTGATTATCCCTTAATTGGTGATGTCAAAAGTGTCCCTCCTGAAGGTCAACTTCAGACAAGGCAAGAACTCAAGATTCAACGACTTGGTGCTTAAGTATCTTTGTTGTATCTGTAATGTCAGACAGGATGTCTGAACAGTATGTCTATGAGGAAGCTACATGAGTGTTCTGGTGTTTGTGATGATATGTTAAGCTGCTGCTGCTCCGTCCTACTGAGAACTTCTTGTGTATCCTATATATGGACTAATGTGGAAATAATAAGCCTTGTGGTTGGTGTCTTAAAGAACCAAAGTGAGTGGTAAAGGATTTGATGTCATATATGATGGGCTGGAATCAGGATTGATTTTACTGTGTTTGAGTGAGTTCAGCAGGGGGTGATTTGAAAGCTAGAGTTCAGTTGTGGTTAAGCCCTTGTCCATGGCTTGTTGCTACAGTGGTGCAGTCCTTATATTGATTGGGTTAAAGAGTTAAATCCACTCTAAATTGTTTTTTCTTTTCTTTTCCTGAGTGGTTGGGTTGACAGAAACTACAGATTTGAATTATAGCATTAGTGAACATTTTCTTTTAGTGATTATTTATTATTTATGAAGTAGTATGGAAGAAGCAAGATTTCCAGCAATTAGTAGAGGTGTAATGGGTAGGCATCTTAAGACGTTGTCCACGCTATGCAAATCCTTAGATGATAATTTCAGATAGGAACTCCGGGCCGAAGGAGACCTCTATCAATTCCTTTTTGTACAGGAAGCTAATATTTTAACACCGATTGTCCAAACGTTATTGAACTACTTTGAGGCAAATTCTTCGACATTTTTGATAAATGACCAAAGGTTAGGAATAACCTTACTAGATGTTCTATTTATCTGCCATTTGCCTATCGATGGGAAACCTGTTTTAATTGAACACTGTCCAAGTGACGAAGCATTCAAGCGCGTATACCCAGAGGTTCCCCGTGATAAAAAGAGGAACATGGATTTTTACCAAAAGGTCGCATGCAACACTAACTTCTCTTCGAAGCAGCGGAAGGTTGCTATTTTAATGATTATTCTTCGAGCATTTGTTATGCCATCGTTTGATGGCAATTTATTCCCTCGGGCATATGTTTCACTTTTGGAGGATGTAGATTCTGTTTCCAATTATGCATGGGGAGATGCAATCTTTTCTTTCCTCTTATCAGGAATAGAAACTTTTAGAATTAAGAAGAAAAAGAACTTGAATGGAAATTTCTGGGTGTTTTTGGTAAGTATTATTTTGAACTATTTACTTGACTTATTTTTTTAAAATACTTTTTTAAATGCATATTCTTATTGTTCTGCAGACTTTTTTTAATTAGAATTCCAAAACTCTGGCATGCTGTAGGAGTTGAGCCACTAAAGCAAGATGACTTCTCTTGCCCGATTTTTTGGTTCATCAATATCATCTATAATATGTCCCATAACCATAGAAAGTCCCATGACTCGGTGGATAATGTTTTGGCCAATCTCACAGAAGGGGTAAGTTCTTTAAGGATATCTTTGTGTTCTATCAACTCTTTGAAACTCATTTAGACTTTCTCTTGTGTACTCATCCTTTTCAATTTTTTTTAATGACATGACATCCGATTCTTTCCATATGAGGCTGAAAAATTGCCAACTGAGCTAAAGTCGAATGCTTTGTTAGCAAGCAAGGTCAGCCCGATTTTTTGCAACAACCTTGTGGTTCATCATAAACCACATCTTGTTGCAAAACAATTCAGGTTGAATGCTGCAGATTTTGTGGATTCCTTTGATTTCTTGGAGTACCAAATCAAAATCACGAAGAATCTGGGACCATTTACCCATAATTATTTCGACGATTACAAAAAGGAGATCATTCTTTGGAACCGCTGCGATTGTCTGTTTAACCATCAAATGCCAGAATTGAATTTGATGTCCAAGTTGATAGGAATTTCGTCACGAAGTGGTGATGGTCCTAACACTTTTGCATAAGGTTCAAGCAGAAGTAGAAGACCAACAACTCTAAGTGTGCCTGGTTCAAGCTATCATAGATCAGAACCAACAATTTTTGGACCAAGCCGACTTGGAATACCACCAAGCGAATCCAGGCCCTCCCCGTTTGGAGAGAACAGGTAAAACAAATTTGCTCTCTGCTATTTATACCCAATAGTCTATGTTTTCTTATTTGAACTTCGAATCATATAGATAGAGTGGGTCTGTGTTTTCTTATTTTGAATTGAAATATATATTTTGAAAACGGAACTTTCTTCTTTTGAATCCAATCCACAACAGATTTGTTATCAATTTGGACAAGATTTCTGAAACCCTTTTTCACAGCCAGATTCAAACCTGTAATCACACCCCAGAGTTAAGCTTTATAGCTATTGCAAGAACCAATGTTCTTGCTAAAGCCTCCCTTCCAGTTACCATAGCTATCTCTGAATAGACCCCCCTCCCCCACCCAGCCAGTTGAATTGTTATTCTGAACAACACCATCCATGTTTAAACATAAGCTCTGTTGTTAAACTCGTTCTTTCCGGCCGTTATCTTAGAACTGAACATCAAAATCAAGAAAACTGCGTCACGCAGTGCTGTTCTGTTACATATAGGTGACTCGACTGGAAGAAGGGCAATAATGGGTTTGGATTCATAACGACACCGCGTCAATATGGCCGCTCCAGCAAAAATAAAAATATTTATATAATTTTGTTTAATAAATATAAAAATATTTATTTATTTAATAAAACCCTTCCTTAAGGAAACTGCCATCCATTATTTTGGAATTGGTCATCTAGCAAATCATTAGTCCCAAGTTACCCCGATCAGGGTTTCCTGTATTATGCATTAAATACCATTTTGGTAAAGCTGCCACATACCTACCTTAATTGATTCACCTTTGCAGCAAACTCATTCAGGATGAACTTGCTTAATTGAACATTCTGGAAAATAATGGAAATAAGAAGTCTCGTGAAGATTAGTCAAATAAATAGTAATAAACTTAAATAAATTCCTTGTATGAGTAAAATGTTTACCAAATTAACAATTTTATACCTCAACTATATATAAGTTCTCCCATATTTTTCACCAAAACTATGACTCGAGAAGTGTTCCCTAGGAAGCCAATACACTTTGGACAAGGAAATCAGATTACATGAACAAAACAAATAATATGAAATCATAATATTAACATTTATATGATGAGAAAACACCTAACCCCTACTAAGCAACTAACCCCCTACTAAGCACATAACCCCTGCTAAGCCAATAACCTCATACTAAGTATCTAACCCCCTACTAAGTATAGTCACGATTTGAATGGTATCAAGCCGCTGAAAGATGTTATATATGATATCCCTCGGAAGTTCAAGCCAATTTGGACTCCCCCCTCCAATTTCTTTCCTGGAAAAGAAGACAATGTCATCCCGCAGATGAGACATAATTCCTATAATTTAAATTTTTCCTACAGACTACTCCCGTAGTTTAAGCTTTATGATGTGAAAATGCAAACACTAGTAGTATAAATATAAACACTAGGTAAATGTCATGCGTTTTGAAAGTGAAAAAGTTTCCAATATCCATTGGAAAAATACTACTTCCTCCGTCTCAAAATAAAAGTCTTTTAAGGTTATTGTACATAGATTAAGAAAAGTAATGACTAAATAATTAAATGTAACAATGTTATAAAATTTTCCTTAATTACTATTGGTTATCATAAAAATATAATAGAGTATAATATCTTGAAAGTTGTGTAGACAATATTTAATAGGGGTAAAGTTGGTAAAAATTAATTATTATTGCATTGAAAACATAAAAAGACTATTATTTTGGGAAAAATTTCTTTGGCTAGAAAGACTTTTATTTTAGGACAGAGGGAGTACAACTAAGTACTATTCTACCTTTATAAATATTATGTACCTAGATGTTTTAAAGATTTAAACGCGGGGTGAAGAATAAATGTTGCTCTGTTTCCAATAAAACTTTCGATATAAAATTACTAAAAATCAACATTACCTCATTACACTTTCATAGGACACCTATATTTCAAATGTACATTCAAGGAAAAAATGACGGGTTAAATGCAAAGGTTAAAATTCCCTAATACATTCATAGCCTTTCTTCTACGAATCATCGAGTAATACATTTATAGCCTCTCTCCAACGAACCATCGAGCAAAATCTCCACGACAATCATCTAAAGAATATAATGATTTAAATTTACTGCCAAATATGCAGGATTAGGTACACAAGTTGATATATCCACATTCTCAGAATTATTAAGCATCACACAAATACTAATATACATATACACTATAAGAAAAGAGAAACAAATTCATGTTATTACACGATGTACACGATATCAAGAGTATTACGGATTAGCAGTTTTTCACAAATCTTGATAGCCGACAATATAGTTAATGTAAGGTTTCTAGAATCCCTATTGAAGTACTCATTTAGGGATCATTATCTGATAGTAGAAGCAATGACATATGATTCTTACATGCTGATTAACGTGCCTATATGCTATCAGCGACTTGAATACCTAGAAGACTCGGTGTTGGATTATCTAGTAACTATGAATTTATATGAAGAATATCTTGGCATGTCACCTGGGCAGTTAACTGACATGAGGTCAACCTCTGTGAATAATGACGGTTATGCAATGTTTGTGATAAAGGTTCAATTGCATAAACATGTACTCCATGAAAAGAAGATGCATCTTGTTAGTATAGGTAGTACCAATCAATCCTTATAAGCCTTCCTTCAACCATGTAGTCCCACACCTGCACAGCCTCAAGATCTCTCTCATACCAATGTGAATTTGTTTTTTCTCTAGAAGCTGCTAGGTAAATCTTCCATTTACCTGGAACTTTAGTTACTGCATGTGAAATAATCTCACTAAAATTCCAGATTACTGGTTTTGTGAAACATGCCAATCCAAAAACTGTACAACTTCACCATGTGAAGTGAAACAGGATATTGGCTTGCAGGTTTTCACACGGAAGCAATCTTTTAGAACAGGACCAAGTGACGTTGTCAAGATTGTTATTAGCCAGAAGTATATTTGTTTCATAAAAAGGTCTTGGAGATTTTTTAGGAAACTTTTATCTTGTTCCTATTTTTATGCTATTGATTGTGTGTAGCTTATTCAACAAACTATTGTGGAATGCATTTTATTTTGAAGAGCCCAAGCTCATGCTTATTAGTGAATATATAAAGGATTTCCCTAATCCTGTTTTTGTAGCTAAGCCGTGCATAAGAAGAAGACTCTAGGGTTTAGTGTGTTAATTGTTAATTGTGATTCACTCAATATCTCCTTGATATTATAGTTGGACTGTGTTAATTGCGAGCCATTCATATATCTCTTTGATACTTGAATTGGACTTTTTTTGAGTTGTAATTGTACTCACTCATAAGCTTTTAATCAAGAGTGAATTTGTGTCTTAGAAGTGTGACTTCTATTCTTCATTGTTTTAGTTTTTTATCACTGGTGTGTGATTGATGGGAAGTGAGAGAGGTCTCATATCTAGGAGTGTCTTAGATAGAAATAGCATGGGTAGTGATTAGGTGAGAAGATAATAAATCGGAGGTTGTTTACTTAGGCTTCAAACTAATATTATTATAGTGGATTTCCTTTCTAGCTTGGTAGCCCCCAGATATATGTGATGTTGCACCGAACTGGGTTAACAATTGATTGTGTTATTTACTTCCAACGTGTTAATTCAATTGCATAAGTGTGCTTATTTGTGTTTTTGTCCTGATCACGGATTAACGAGATTCCCACTGTCCATGCATACTATCCATGTTGGGTCTCTTCATCCCCACAATTCCATTAATGTACTTTTTCCTAAATCTTCAATTAATTAAATAAAATACTTAATAAACCCATCTCCTCTTTCATTCTTAAGTTTTCAACCCATCATTAACTTCCCACTAATCCCATAAACTTACAATACACCTCACTAAAAAAATTAGCTTCCATTAACTCTAAAATTTATAATCCCATTAACTTACAACACACCTCGCGAAGAAGAATTTTTCAAAAAAAAAAAAAGATTTATTTTTATAAAATCAAAATTAATGTTGCTCAGTCTAATACTGATTTGCAAACTTCTAATCGTTCTTAAGGTACTAACTTTAATTTTTTTCCTTTTTTTTTTAAACTTTTCTATTCATCTTTTATCCAATCCATTGTTTTATTTTTACTTTTTATTATTATTGAAGTTCAAATATGGTAAATGTAGAGCGCGGATTATAAAGGTCCGCTGCGTGCACAGACTTTGAATACCTGATGTTCAAATTGAGGCCACAAATCTTATTTTAAAACCCATTAATTTTATGTTAATGTTTGATAAATGCAT